CCGGCACTTCTGCAGCAAGGTGAGCAGACTCTACTGCCACACCTTGTACATGTGATGAGAGATAGCCTGGCGCTGGCGTACATCCCTGAACCCTGGAGGATAGCTAAGGTGATCTTTATCCCGAAGGTGGGAAGGCRAGACTACTCGCTGGCTAAATCCTTTAGACCGATCAGTCTAACCTCCTTCTTGCTAAAACCGATCAGTCTAACCTCCTTCTTGCAAAAATCATGGAAAAGATCATAGACCAGGAAATAAGATCGAAGGCTCTTGTAACTGCGCCCCTGCATGCAAGTCAGCATGCGTACAGAGCAGGCAGATCGACGAACCCCGCCCTTTACCAGCTAACCTCGGAGATACAGAGCTCGCTGGACTCCGGGGAGAAGACCTTATGCGCCTTCTTAGACATCGAAGGTGCCTTYGACAACGCGTCCCACGGGAGCGTAGTAAGGGCACTGGAGAAAAGTAATGTGGCACSTACAATGCGCAGGTGGATAGAGGCGGTACTGCGCACCAGAATAGCTGAAACCACATCAGGAGGCACCAGTATTCGTCTCGGTACTACAAGGGGCTGCCCACAGGGAGGCGTGCTATCCYCCCTGCTGTGGAGCATAGTCGTGGACGAGCTGCTGGTGCTGTTGACTAACAATGGAATCCGCTGTCAGGGATTGCATTGCAATCGACGGTTAAACTTAAACTGTCGAAACTGCAAAGGCTTGCATGTGTCTGTATGACAGGAGCAATGCGTACCTGCCCTACAGCGGCACTTGAGGCCATGCTGGAGCTCACCCTGCTGCACCTAGTAATTGGTCAAGTCGCCAAGCACAMTCTGCTTCAAATGACAGCAGAGGGAACCGGCAAAGATAAAGTGATCTCGTCCCAACGCATGGAAGAGCTAAGCGGCACCATACCACTGGCTCTTCTTCCTAGGGACTACATCACCAAAAAGCTAAACTTCACAGGGATAGCTCGATCAGGTGGTACACCGACGGCTCGAAAACTTCGGAGGGAATTGGTGCAGGGGTCGCAGGACCACGTGCAAAACTCTCCATGCCT